AGGATGACTTGAAGCACTTACTGATGAAGATTAAAGACTACAGTCTGCAGTATGGATAACACCTCAATATTAAGAAAACAAAAATCCTCACAATCAGTCCAAGAAACAGTTTCACAATAGATGGAGAAAAGACTGAAGTTGTCAGGGACTTCATATTATGTGGTTGTACAATCAGCACCAACAGAAGCAGCAGTCAAGACACCAGATGACGTATTAAACCAATCTCACTGTCACTGAGTTGATTCCAATTCATAGCGACCTCTCCTTGGGTTTCTGAGGTGGTATCACTAGGGAAGTAGATTGCCCAAACTCCCTTCCGAGGGGTGGCTGGTGGGCTTGAAACACCAGCCTTCTGGTTAGCAATCAAATGCCTTAGGCACTACGCCACCAGAGCTCCCAAGTGGAGGGCTAAGGGGGTGTAAAGGCCCTGAGGTGGAAGGGTCCTGGCAGGTTTGAGAAACAGCAGAGAAACCAGTGTGGCTGGAGTTGAGAGAACAGGAGCAAAAAAGAGATGGTGTCAGAGAGATATTGAGGTGGGTGAGGCAAGAGGGAGAAGAAAACTTTGAAGAGGAACCTGATAGACCATTGCAAGGACTTTCGCCTTGACTCTGGTAAGATGGTAAGTCATAGGAGGATGTGAGGACACTAGTGATTAGTCTCCTAGAACTAGTGTAACCAATTACCACAAAACTCATTGGCTTATAAGAACAGACATTTATTGTCTTGCAGTTCTGGAGTCTGAATTCAAGGTATTGGCAAGGCCATGTTCTCTATGAAAGTCCTATGAGACCCAGTTTCTGCCATCTCCAGGCATTCCTTGGCTTGCAGATACATCTCTCCAATCTCTGCCTCCGTCTTCATCTGGCCAGCTTCCTCTGTGTCTCTTCTCCTTTTTTTTTAAGGACACCAGTTATTTTGGATTGCAGCCTGCCCTACTCCAGTATGATCTCATGTTAATTTAACTAACTGCATCAGCAAAGATCCCATTTCTAAATTAAGTTATGTTCATAGGTACAGGAGTTAGGACTTCAATGTATCCTTCGGGGGCACACCATTCAACATATACCACACAGCCTCATAGTGTATGTTTTAAAGGGATAAATCTGACTGGATACTAGGATGGTAGAGCCCAGGGCAGAAGCAGTGGGGAAAGTTGAGAGGCTATTGCAATAATCCAAGCGAGAAGTGATAGTGGCTTGGACCAGGAATGCAACAGTGGAGTGAGTGAGAAGTCTGATTCTGGATATGCTTTGAGTTGATAGGATTTGATGACAGATCAAACGTGAGTGATGAGAGAAAGAGAGGAGTCCAGGATGACTTCAAGATTTTGTTCTGAGCAGCTGGAACTATAGGATTATCATAATAGCAGGTTTGGTTGGATGTGGAAGGGTGAGGTGGGGTGGGGAGAGCAGTGGCTCAGTTTGCACATGTAACCACTGAGATGTGTATTGAGAAGGTAGTTGGGTATTTGATGATGGAGTTTAGGGGAGAGGATTAGGCTGGAAATGTAACTTTGGTCCCTTAGATACAGTGTTTGAGAACTTCAGGTCTGGTGCAAACTCTCATTTTACAGATGAGGAGACTAAGTACCTTAGAAAACCAGTTATTTTTGAGTTGCCTCTGACTCATGGTGACTTCATAGGTGTTAGGGTAGAACTGCTCTATGGGGTTTTCAATGGTTCATTTTTTAGAAGTAGATTGCCAAAACTTTCTTCCAAGACTCCTCTGGCTATTCTCGAACTGCTAACTTTTTCAGTTAGCAACCAAGTGTGTTAACTGTTTGCACCACCCAGAGACTCTGAGCTCCTCAGAAAGACATGACTTTTCTAGGTATGTTTCTAGTGGAGCTAAGACAAAATGCTAGCTTCTTGACCTTCTCTCCAGAAAATATGCAGAAACTTAGGTACCACTTTAAAATTCTCTTTACATTTAGATTTGGAATACAGTTGGCCTTATTTCTCTTTCTAGATGTTTCCTTCTGTTTCCCTTCTCTTGCCTCTCTTATTCCTTCAGCTCCTCCTATGCTTCTGCTTATTCAATCTTACATCTTCTTTGGTGGCTTACATACATTTGATAGAGCACATGGGCAGTGGTAGGGAGGAATTGTCACCTGTCAGCAGCCTACTTGCCTTATCCAAATGCAATCTCCTCTATTAGCAATCCTTGAAACTCTAGCCAAAAGTGATGCCTCCATTCTCAACCACAAACTCTCTTTTGGATCTTTTAATTGGATCTTTTTTTTTACTTTCTCTTTTTTTCTTTAATTTTTATTGGGTTTTGGGTAAAAGTTTACAGAGCAAATTCATTTTCCATACAGCAGTTCATACACATTTTG